GATGGCTCACACCTGTAATCCTAGCTCCTTGGGAAGCTGAGATCCAAAGGGTTGTGGTTCAAAGGCAGCCTGAGCAGGGAGGGTTGCTAGACTCTTACCTCCAGCTCTCCAGCCAGAAGCCAGGCTAGAGGCATGGATCGTCACATGAGGAAGCAAGCTGAGCGAGTGCACGGACCGGAGCTCAAAGCCCAGTCAGTCCCTGTCAAAAAAGGGGGTTGTAGTAATTCATAATACAGCTTAATTCCAGTACAGTCTTGAAGAGAAAAATGGATGTGTTTCCTATTCACTTCTGCGTGAGGACTTGGTCTAAGCAGAAACATCAACAAAAATTGGTTCCTTGTTTTTTGAAACCAGGTCTCACTATGAACCCAGGCTAACCTCCCAGTGCTGGAGTTACAGGTGTACACTACCCTGCCCAGCTTGGATCCAGGCAGATTTTGAAAATCGTTTCTCACTTGTGGCTTATGTCTGTAATCTTGTTGTTTTGTTTTGTTTTGTTTTTGTCACGGGGCTTGAGCTCTTCAGCTCAAGGACAGTGCTCTATTATGGAGACACAGCGCCCCTTCTGGTTTTCTGGTGGTTCATTGAAGATAAGAGTCTCACGGACTTTCCTGCCCAGGCTGACTTTGAACCGTGATCTTCAGATCTCAGCCTCCTGAGTAGCTAGTATCACAGGCGTGAGCCACCAGTGTTTGTTTGGCTTTTACGTCCATAATCTTGAACTGTTTCAGGAAGTTGAGTTCTGAGGATCTCGATTCAAAGCCAGCCTGGGCAAGAAAGCCCATGGAACTTATCTCCAGTTAACTACCAAAAAACTGCAAATGGCTCCAGTGGTAGAGTGTTATTAGCCTTAAGCTATAAAGCTTCCCATCTATCTTCTTCCCATTCCTCAATATCAGTAGCCTCTCCTGGATACCTAGCACCCCTACTGTCCTCTACCCTTACCCCTTGATATTTGTTCAACAAAAAAAATCACATTCCTGGGCTGGGAAGGTGGCTCAGTGGTAGAGCGCTTGCCTTGCATGCATGAGGCCCTGGGTTCGATTCCTCAGCACCACATAAGCCAGAAGTGGCGCTGTGGCTCAAGTGGTAGGGTGTTAGCCTTGAGCTAAAGAGCTGAGGAATAGCGCTCAGGCCCAGAGTTCAGCCCCCATGACTGGCCCCCCCCCCCCAAAAAATTATATTCCTACAACATAGGAAAACTTCACATAGTTTAGGGACAGTATTTTGGAATCCAGAGACAAAATTGTCTTAGAGCCATAGCATCCCCTCTTGGGGACTTTATAAGATGTACGAGCTAGATTGTGACTCATTTAAAAATACCTTTGCCCTAAAAATTGCCCTGCTTTTGTAGATGGCTATGGACAGAAGCTGGAGCCCAGTATGAGCTTGAGAATGCCCTGGGGATCGGGGGGTTCGGATACCCCGCCATGGCAGCCATAAATGCCCGCAAGATGAAGTTTGCCCTTCTTAAAGGCTCCTTCAGTGAGCAAGGCATTAACGAGTTTCTCAGGTAATTTCCTGTGTTTGTAGTGTTTTATTGGTTGCGTTTTGTTGTGTCTTTTGGCTTAAAGTAGGTGTATGTAAGTTTTACGTTTAAAGTGGAAGAGGATTGGATATTCATTCAGAAGGCAGTTTTCAAGTCCGCTGAACTTTATTCTCTGTCCCATGGATATTTCTACTCTTCTGCTCTCAGGCCGCCTGCTGGCCGGGTGGGTACCTGAGCTGCGGCTCACCCAGCAGCCCTGCATCCCCCTCCACCCAGGAAATGTGGGTCTGTCCCTAACGGCTTGGATTTGAAAAGTGGTTATTTGCACATGGAAGTCCCTATTTCAGTCTGTCCCACAGTGTGCACGTGACAGGTTCTCACACTCCAGCCATTCATAGCGCTGTCCCCTCAGCCACCCACCTCAGCCTGAGACTCACTTCACCCTCTTTTTTTGGCGGGTCTAAAGGATTTTGTTTCCAGCTCTTGCTTTCGAGTGCGTTCTGCGCTGCGCTGTGCTGCGCAGAAGACAATTCAGCACACCAAAGATAGCCTAGGGGGTTCTGCCTGGTCTGGGGCAGATGTGTGAGAGAGTGCCGCTCACACACAAGCGGGGCGGGAGCTGTGCAGACTGCGCTCTGTGCTCTCAAGGCCATGCCTCGGCTCTCCCTACCCCCGGGCCTGGCACCGGGGACCCGGTGGGAGTTGGTGGGAGTCAGGGCAGCTGAGGCCAGCTGGAGCCTCACCCTGGCTCCTTGCCTCCTGGACAGGGACCTTGGCCAGCGCCCAGCTTTCCTGCGGCTCCCCTCCTGTCGTCTTAGTGTGGATACTGGTGCCTCCATAGGGCTGAGGCGTTGCACGAGCCGTCAGGAGAGAGCGGGCCTGGGGCAGTGGACATCAGCTGTGCTTAGACAGGGTTTCAACAAAGGGGCAGAGAAACGATCTGAAAATCAGTAAAATGAAACATCAAAGTAGACAAGTTTCATGTCCCCAAAACAGTAATGAATACAACCTGTGGGGACTTATTCAGTGTTTATTTCCCAAGCATGGAAAACTTTCAATGTGTACAAAAGTAGAGAAACGAGGCTACAGGACATTTACACAGATTTTTCAACTTGGTCAGTCAGTCAGCAAGTCCCACCCGTGTCAGATGTAACATGTTACCCTGGGTCTGGTGTGGTGGGACACGTCTATCATCCCAGCCCTCAGGAGGCTGAGGAGGCCAGAAGATGTGGAGCTCGAGGCCAGTCTGGGCTGTCCCGAAGCTCTACGAACACAGTCAGTGCCATTATTGTATCTAAAGAAACTACAGTGGTTCCAGTTGCCTTAGTCACCCCAGCTTTCTGGCTGATGGCGCTGATCAGGTGTTTTCATAAAGAAGTGTGGGCTCAGTTTGTGGTTGTCACAGAATTCTGTTTCCACGATCATGGTGTCAGGTTTGAACACAGATACACGTCCTGTGATTCTTGTTTCTTCTGCACTTGCCTTTCTGCCTGTGGCTTCAAGTATGGATGGTTCGCTTCATCATTGCTATCTTGGATACACATGTGCACTCATGAGTGTTTTTAGCTGTAGTTTTTAATAGCCAGATTATGAAAAGTCCATGACACTTTTCAGAAATGAACGTCCAGCCTGAGTTGTTGATGTGCTTTGTCCAAGTTCATGGCCTTAGAACACAGTCAACACCTACGCCTTTGTCTTTTCCCTCAGGGAGCTGTCTTTCGGGCGAGGTTCCACAGCACCTGTGGGAGGCGGGGCCTTTCCTGCCATCTCCACCAGAGAGCCCTGGGACGGCAGGGACGGCGAGGTGAGTGCCCCAGGCCAGTGCCCTAGGCCGCGCACGCGCCTGCGCCCTCCGCCAGACCTGCTGTGCCACCGTGCCCCACCCAGCACCTTCCGCAGGTTCTTCCTCCGAAGGCCCCTCCCTGCCCTTGCCCTGTCATTTGGCTTGCCCCAAAGTAGATGTGGCCTGGAACTCACTGGCCACGTCTCAGAAACAGAAAACTAGTCTGAATTAGCATTTCCGCACAGTTCCGCCCACTGTCCTCAGAAGGACAGGTGAGCTGACGTTTACCTGACGTTTCGTGTTTTTTGAGACAGGGTCTGTTAGTCCAGACAGACCTCAGTACTCCCGCGGTTCAAGTACTAGGGTTCTAGGCGTGTGCACCACACCAGGCTGGCTTTGGTTTTAAAGAGACAGGAGATGGTCTGTTAAATCCATGCTTTATAGCTCCTTATGAGGCTGAGATCCAAGGATCCAGGTTCAGAGCCATCCAGGGCAAACAGAACTGGAAGCATGGTTCAAATGGTGAATCAAATGGTAGCTAGCCAGCCCTGAGCAAAACAGCTGAGCAAGAATGAGAAGCCCTGAGTTCAACCCTTACCATCACACACATACACGTACAAAATGCTTCAAAGACCACAGTAGTGGAACACACTTAACATCTTAGCTTCAGCAAGTGAGGAGGATCTTGTGTTTGAAGTCGGCCCAATCTGTATAACAAACCCTGTCTGTCTCTTGATGGCTGCAAGTGCTCATGCCTGTAATCCCAACTATACAAGAGGCTGAGATCTGAGGATCACAGTTCAAAGCCAGCCTGGGCAGGAAAGTTGGTGAGACAGACTCCTTATCTCCAGTTAACCACCAAAATGCCAGAAGTAGAGCTGTGGCTCAAGTGATGGAACATTCACCCTTAGCAAAAAAGCTCAGCGGCAGCACCCAAGCCCTGAGTTCAAGTCCCAGGACACGAAGTAAAAAACCAAATCGCCCAGTCTCAAAAAGAAAGTACCAGGCTTCATGCTAGCGCTCAGCTTTTCCACTCGTACTGTATAATAGGTAAAGATCCAGGTTGAGGAGAACCTGGATTAGAATTTAGAATCCTGGAAGTTAGGAGGCGCCTGCGCCAACAGAGACTGACTGTTGCTTTCTTGGGCCTGCCCTTGTCCCCAGCTTCCTGTGGAGGATGACATTGACCTCAGCGACGTGGAGCTTGATGACTTGGAGAAAGACGAGTTGTGAGCGCCCGGGCCCGGGCCTCCAGCTTCTTTTCTTGGGAGCGAGCAGATTTTCCCAGCAGTGAAGAACATTCTTTACAAACAGGTGAACCTCCCAGTGGCCTTTCTACCAGGAAGTAGCCCTTGATCGGTCATTTTGAGAACACTGCAACAGTGAGCTTTGCATCTCGAGAAAACACTGAAAAATTCTATGAATTGTTGGAACCAGTGATCGGATTATGTTCTATCACATAATAGTTTGAAGAATACTTGGGCTGTGGAAAACTTTTCCCTCTGACTGCTGCTTGAATGTTCTTGGAGGCTGTTTCTTATATATAGGTTTTTTAAAATGTGATTCCTTCATTTGAATATTAATGGCTTTTTCCATTAAAGAATAAAACGTTATTTTGGACAATGCCGACACATGTATGAAATTAGTGTCCCTATCATAAATGCCAGGGTCTGTTATTTAGCCCCCACATTAATTAGTGTGAACTGACAGCCCTGTTGTCTCCTCCCTGAAGCAAGGCCTGAAATGCTGCGCTGTCATCTGGGGGGCTCGGCTTCCTCCCCAGGCCGCCACCAGGGGCTGGTTGTGAGGCAGGGTGTCCAGCTTTCCCACTAGGGTCCTGGGCAAGCGTGGGAGAGCAGGGACTAAGTGCTTCCCAGGCTGTAGGCAGTTCACATTTATGTAAAACGCTCAGGAAAAAAAAAACTTCGAATTATTGTTAGAACCTAAGAAAAGATGATTTGAGGGACTGAGCATTTTATTGTAACTTAAAAAAATAAATACACTGTAACTAACGTTTGCGAGCAATTTGTCTGAAAATCAAAATTGCAGAGACCTTTAGAGCCGGGTTCGTGAGCAAGAAACCGTAGGAGCTGTAGTGTGCGTGTCCGTGGATCTGGTGGTGCCAGGCGCCAGCCCCTACTAGTCAAGGAGGCTGAGGTCGATGTGGAAGTAGACGTAGGGGAAATAGTCCTGGTTGCTGAGCTGAAGCCCGGGGATCTCCACCGAGGCCTGCAAAAGAAGATGGGGTGGTGGTGTCAGTGCGTGAACTTGTTTCCTGTTTCACTTCCTGCCTGAGAGAAAGCTTGGGGTGGGTACTGACCACAGGGATGACCACACAAACGGCAGCTGCCCCCACCCTACACGCACATGCGCGTGCACGCACACAGTGCTTTCCTAACAGACTAGCAAGCACCTTGTTGGAAGGCTGCCCAGCCTCCAGTGCCGAGGCCCGGCGTGTACCTACATCCAGTATACTCGCGGCCGCCACCTCGTCCAGGTGTCGGAAGACCGAGTTAAGCACTTCTCTCAAGCGTTTGGTGGCTGACTTCTTGTGAGGCTGCAGGAGGACAGCCTGGAAGTTCACGGGCAGTCCGTACCTGTGCCGACAAAGCAACGGTACCGTGAGCACGGCAGAAGCACGCTTCCACCCACATGACAGCGAAAGCAAAGCAACAGAACTAAGGTCGGGCTGGTAGATCTCCACGGGGAAAGGGCTGGACACTCGGCCACCTCCACAGCCCTGAAAACCCCACTTAGCCGTGTCCGTCTCCACTTAAAGGAGCAGAAATATCAAGAGTTCGTTTTATTGAGTCTTCAGATGGGTGGAAAAGGTTTTAAACGTAGTCGCGGGCTACACACTGCAAGCCACTTGGGATGAGCTGTCCGCAGGGTGTTACCCCAGAGCCATCTCAGCGCTGTGAGTGACCCGAGGCCGGTCCGCGGCCCCAGGCCTGCTGCGCCCTGGGTGAGAGCTGGACTCCGGGTGCCCGGGTGCCCTGCACTCACCCAGAACCCAGTTTCTGCCAGTGTCCATAAATGCCCCCTACCCCAGACACCTTCCCAGCAGCCCTTGCTCTCACAAAGCGTCCCTGGGGAGGCGGAGGAGCCAGCACTGTGTCCAGACCTCGCCCTTCCTAGAGGCAGGCGGCGCGGGCAGATCCCAGGTGAGAAGGGCCGGGGCTTCCTCGTGTGGTCTGTCCCCATCTCTGGCAATCCAAGCTCTGGTGTTCCCCAGGGGACGAGGGTCGGAGGGCATGTCACTGTGGTGACATTACCTTGAGTCTATTGCTCTGATTGGCCCCCAGCCCGGCCCCCAGCGGTCTGCCCGCCTGGCTGCTGGGGGTCACTGCTCCTGCATACTGTGGGGGCTCAGGAAGCCACATGCAGCCCTCGCGTGTGGCAGGTGTTCACTGGTGCTGCTAGGAACCAAGTCTGCCAGGGGCCGGGCGTGCCAGCACCAAAGCCGCTCCCACACCACTGCCCGGCTGCCCGGGCGCCATGCCTTCCCTTGCCACACCAGTGGCGCTCCGGTCCCCTTGTCCTCAGCGCTGGTTTGGGCGCTGGCTTTGGAGAGTGAGGACTGACACAGCCACGGGCCCTGCGGATGTCCAGGGGTGTCCAGGTGGCCAGTGAGCAGCGGAGAACAGGGTACCCAGGGCCAACTGGGGTTCAGCTGGTTTGCCAAGAGCCAGGAGGGGAGGCAGCAACCACAGCCCCAGAAACTGGGGGGTGGGGGGGTGAGGGATGCTGGGAGGATGGGTGAGGCGAAGCCCGGATCTCGATCTCTCCAGATCCCACCACCCACCCCCAGGGCAGCCCCAAATCCAGACTGTTCCACGCACCTGAGCACAGACTCCACAAACACTCTCAGCGCCTTTATGTGGATCCACGCAATGAACGCTTCACTGAAGTTCACCTTGAGCCAGCGCAGCAATGGGCCCTGGAAGACGGGCGGGCTGCGTGAGCCATGCGCCAGAAGCCACGAGGGCCCAGACAGCAAGCCCAGCCCCGGAGAGAAGAAACACCAGGAGCCAGCACAAGCAGTCAGAAGAGTCCCGGATGAGGCTGGGGCACCTGGCCCTGGGGAAGCTCAGCGGGCCAGCCACCTGCACATGCGAGGGCCACCGCAGGCCGGGGTGGGGACCGGGCAGCTCCTGACCTCAGGACTGTACACGGGCACAGCCAGGGAGCCCACGTCCTTGAGGGCATGGCTCCTGTGGGGGCTGGCACCATCTACCAGCATCTATAAGCCCCAGCCACCAAGACCAGGGTGGCCGGTCCTGGCGGGGGAACTCAGAGTCTTGGAGTAAGAGCTCCAAACTCCCACTGAATTCCTCCGATGGCATCAAGCGCAAGGAAGAGACCTCGCCAGGGCAGCAGGGTGGGAAGCTGAGCTGCCCAACCACCACCTCTTCACAGGCCCTGCCCATCACCAACTCCAGCCACCTCCGGCCAGGGCACAGTCACCCTGGCCATCAAAGCACCATTTCCTGCGGGCAGGGGCGGCTGCAGAAAGACCCTGCCGGCTAGAGGAAGGGCTGATTCTGGGCTCCTTGAACCTCAAACCTCACCAAGCTGAAGGAGATGATGGAAAAGGCAAGAACCGGGCTTTCTCAGAAGCTGCCTCAGTTGGCGGAGATGCGAGCGCGACCCCAGGGCGCCCTGAGGGCTGCTTACCTCACCCTCGCCCTCACTCTCTCTCTCTCTGTCGGTCTGCCCCGCAGCGGGCCTATCGGGGTTCCCTAGCGGGGTTACCTTAACCTTGTGGTCGCGGTAGGTGGGTGCTCCCTTTTTAAGAGTAACACAGGAAGTTTGCTAAAGGCACAGAAATGATTTATTAATCTTTCGGCGAGCAGACATCACAAACACGCAGAAAACAATTCTCACCACTTCCGCCACCTCCCTATCCCCCCAAACAAACATAGACTCCAGAAGATGGGCCCTGGGGACTTGCAGTCTGGTGAGAGGAAGGCCGGGGGCGGGGCTTACAGCCTGCCCCTCCACATTCTAGGGACAAGCACCCCCAGCCCTCCCTGCCCGCATCATTCGCAGCTCAGACGGGGCGCAGCTGTCTCGCTGAGCACATCCGTCTGGCTGTGCAGTCTCGTGCAGAACGCTTCTCAGCTCACTCTTTAGCATCCTGTCTGCCAATGGGTGGGAAATGGGGGACCATGCTACCCCGTGTTAAATCACCTCCAACGGACAGACAAGTTACAAGATGCTTGGCTCTGTGCACTCCCAAGCGGACCAGAGGAGGAGAGACCCTCGGGCTGAAGGGAGGGGCTGCCCCTACTGCACCCCTGGGGTTCTGCTTACAGGCACAGCTTGGGGTTGCCCTTCCAGGCAGACCTCAGCAGGCTCCCCAGGTCAGCACAGGGGTGGGGAAGGCTCCATGTAAAGATGACACCAGCTGCAAGCCGAGCAGCAGGTGGCAGAGGGAGCCTGGCAGGCCTGTGCCAGGGTGGAGATGGTGCCCAGGGGCTCCTCTCCCCTGGGCCGGGCCCTCTGCTGGACCCTCAAAAAACGTCACAATCTGGTCCTACCCACGGTACTCTCTAGAGGTTGGGAGGAGGCCCACGGGAGCAGAGAAGGTGGGACTGACAAGAAAGGTGCTGACCGGCTGAGGCCAACCCTGGCCAACCCCTGGGCTTCTGCTCTTAGTGACTGTCACTTCAAGCTGTTTTTGCCAGGTCTGTGCCATTGTTCCAAGGCCTCAAACACACGCAGGGGCCAGGGCGCCATCCCCACAGACCTCCACTGTGAGGTAGGAATCCAGTCAGACTTTGGGCCTGAGCAGTATGGGTGCTGGCCCCGTGCACGTCTGTGTCTCCACATAGGGGTTTGTGTGTGTCTATGCTCTGCGGAAACAGGATTAAAACCCCCAGTATGAACGTGTGTGTGTGTGTGTGTGTGTGTGTGTGTGTGTG